CAGCAGCATCAAACCCTCGTGAGATCAAGGCTTTAAAGCTACAAGCGCAGCTTCCTTGCAACTGGCGTCCATCCTGTCTCAGAAGCAGTCAGCCTCCAATTGAATTTACAGCAGCGGGGCTAAGTGTCGTTCCGCGGCCTGTTCGTTCTGATTTTTTCAACGCTGCCTGACGTAAGTAGGTCAGGTCCGGTCGGCCCACCGGTACACGCCAAGGCACGCAAGACAGTGCAGGTTTTGTGTCCCGCAGGTGCACGAAGCCAACGTGCATGTCCAGTCAGCACTAGGATCGAAGAAGATAAATTGTGTTTCAACGATAATGCAATTATAATAATAACTGAATGCAGAACATACATGGTTTTGAAGTATTGCGAAAATACGAACCTCAAGGATCGCGAGGATGAATGATGCACTCGGTCTTGGCTGTCATGCCATCGAATCTAAGTCTACAATACAACACATTCCTACTACCTATAATATCTCCCTTAAGGACATGACATCAGAGAAGGACAACAGCACAAGCCTTAGACATTGACATACATGTGCATAATGTGTTCATGAACTGTACTGGAGAGAATCTCACAATGCAAGCTTCATGACTGCGAACCTGACTGGCACAGCAAACGCCAGCCGTTGGGAAGTTTCGGCCCATAACCAAGCAGCGTGCATTACGTACTATGATTATGCTGGCGCGGCTATCAAAATCCAGCTGTCAGTAAGCACGCTCCAGGGGGCATTAAAGCTTTGAGGTTTTGAGGTGTGCTGTCAAAGGCAACTTCAATCTGCTCCCTCACTCAATCTTAATGCCTTGCTTGATCAGATGAATAGCGAGGCGAGCACATTGCGGGACAACCGCATTTCCAAGGGCCTCCAATCGCTTCTTCTCTTCGGCATCCTGTGTCCGGCTGAGCCATCTGGTCACAGGAGGCTGGATCAACTTCAACCAGGGCTGCAAGGCGTCATTGATCATATCGCAGGGTCTCATCTCATGCAGGGGCCGGCCATTCCGGAAAAGAGCGCAGCCAGGCTTGTACATATAGAGGAAGATGCGCTCTCGATGCATCTGAGTTCGCTTGCCAAGTGCAGCACCGATATAGCATCATGACAGAAAGACAGACTACCTCAAAGAGCATTGCCGAGATCCAGGCATGAAGCCCACACTGCTTCCCCGTGACCGTCGCCCATTTCAGATCCATGTTCCTCTTCTGGCATTCCTGCACGCATGGGGACCTAATAATTCGTTTGATTTTTATAATCATGACGCAGCAGTCAGTCCAAAACAGCATATGATGATGAAAATGCTCCCGCCTTCACGACGAAAGCAAAGACTTCGCTCAGGGCTTTGGACCGAAGATTCCCTACGTTTTCGAGAAGCAAGAAGGTCGGTTTGGCCAAAGTATCAAAGATGCGAAAGCAATGGGTCAGGAGGCTACTCCGAGGGTCGTCAAGACCCAGCTCGTAGCCAGCCTGGCTCACTCCCTGCCACACAGGCAAAAGGAGACGGACATGATGATCAGCCATTTGAAAACAATGCATGGTGTTTAAATTAAAATGCTTTCACTTTCATGAGTCTGGCACCTGACACGGGAAGCCGCCGATCACTCCAACAGCACCCTGCTCGTTGCCGCTCGGCTGAAAAGTGATAACATCCCGGTGCACAGGTCCCGGGCTTGCCATTGAATCCAGCTGGCGGGCCAGGATGACATCCCGGCATCTCTCGTTGCACTCAACCTTTAGAACGCACGCGTGCGCGGAATCAACGTCTGATTTGGAAATTCAAATGATTAAACTCAATCAAGAAGCAAGACCCGGCATCTCACGTAAAGTCTAAGTCTAAGTCTAGGCCTACACTAAATGATTATATATTCATTATGTAATTATTAATATTATTGTGGTGTGCATTACGTGAATTGCCAAGCCTTGCTTCTTGACTATAAGGAGCATTCGCCATCTGAGGAGGTGGCATAGCAGACCGAATGCACGAGCCTAACCAAAGCAGCAGAAACGATAGTATTTGGAACAATGACTTTATGTTTGCCAAGCTGAGGACACGACGAGCTGAGCCCGAGCTCCAGTCCCAGGACTCCAGAGAACAACGAGACGACGGGCAAAGTGCCCCCCTCAGCACCCAGTGTCCGTGAGAAACAGAGCATTCAAGAACCCGCCCGCCTGGCCGTGCCACGGGAACATCGTCCGAAAGATGTGCTGGTCAACATGGCCCGTAGACGGTGAAGTCCAATTGGGCGGGAGCCCTGACAAGTTCAAGCCATAATGGAAAAAAGACGCCCCCGCAAGGCCCAAACCCACACGATGGGTCCATGAGTCCATGACATGACGCTGCACCTGTAAACCATTCTGCCGTCTCCACAGCCAAGTACCTGCACCTTGACAAGTTCGCCCCCGCCATGCGGCTCTTGTGCCCGTCCCAATGATAAATCTGTGTCGCCAGGTCCTGACTCTTAGTCTAAGTCTTGTCGGCTGCAACAAGGATAAGTTCAAGTCTAAAGGCCCAACATGCGATAATTGCACCGTGTCCCTGGCCTGCCTGCTTGCCTCTCACAGAGACATACTCTGTCGTCGCACGCACGGTGGAACTGAAAACACCTGCAAACCACAAAGATCTTGGAGAGCCAGCTAATGATGAGATTTTGAAGCTTTGGCTTTTGATCTCAGGTTCTGGCGGATGCACCCCCATGTCTCAAGAACAACCGGCTTCGTCTGCAACTTGAGTCCTTCCTTTGCCGTTTTCAGGCTGCGGGAGACCTTAGGAGGAACCTGAGTCACACGCTGACAGTGCCCGGCACGTCATGACATCGAGTTGAACAATTAACAATCTAATTATGTTTTTAGCATATTAAACCCGAGCGAGCCCCAACATGACTAAAACTCTATGCCCTGAATTGAAAACCCTACGTGAGGGAAGCAGCCCAAGCACCAATCGCATCTGGAACTTGGAAGCTTGCGGCACACAAGGAGGCTTGTACTCGCCACAGGAGCCGTCTGCAGCAACCCATCCAAACTTCACGGCCACGCCAGCCTCGCAGGAGCAGTTTTCAGCAGGCACGCCATGAGCCAGAAATTCTTGCAAAGAGGCTGAAACTTATAGGATTTAGACCCAATCAAATGATCCAGCCTTGGATGTCTTGTACAGCATCTTTGTGGCACTGCATTTTGACCTGAACCCGGGCATAGAGAACTCGAGTACTATCCTATGTGTTCAACCCTCCCCAAGCCCGAGGCCCATTCTCTGCATGGCCGGCCGACATGCCATCGTCCTCCAGACACCTGACAGTGGCCAAGTGCTAAAATCAACACAATACAATCATGCCTAAGGTCTTGGAAGAAGAGACAGACATCTGGATCTAGTAGTCATCAAACTTCAATCATGTGTCTTCACTCATTGTAAAGTTAAAGTTAAAGCCTAAGGCTGTGGCTCCATCTCGTCATCGCTGAGCCCGTCAATGTTCCGAAGCGACATGTCAAATGCCTGTCAGTCGTGAGCCAAACAAAAATAAGTTCAAACAAAGAATTAAGCAGCGGCGGCCTGCAACGGTCAGGCAGCAACTGACTTGGGAGCTCCGGCCCTAAAAGAAATCACACTCCGTCCTTTGAGCACGACAATGGACCACGCGTGCGCCTGATCGCAGACTTAAACCTGGAAGCTTCATGCCCCTAAGACCTTGGCCTACAACCTTAACCTTAAATATCAACTGAAATCCTAGGCCCTTTAATTAACTCTAACACCCGAAGACATCAAGACAAGGCACCGTGTGCCCAACCCACAGAGCCAATCCTTTCCCGAAGTTACGGATCTACTTCGCCGACTTCCCTTACCTACTTTGAATTTGCTCTATCGACCAGAGGACCATAAAGGCCTTACTAAACTGAAATCCTAGCCCCTTTAACTCTAAAACCCGAAGACATCAAGTTCAAGACAGGGCCCCGTGTGCCCAACCCACGGAGCCAATCCTTTCCCGAAGTTACGGATCTACTTCGCCGACTTCCCTGACCTACTTTGAATTTGCTCTAACGGCCAGAGGACCATGAAGGCCTAAACTGAAATCCTAGCCCCTTTAACTCTAAAACCC